ATTCCGAGTTGCTGACCACTCCTGAGTGTGATGCCTGCCCTGTGATGTGGTCCATGCACCAGGAGTCACATCCTTAAAGAGCACCGACTCTCCAGCTCTCAGCACCTGTCAAGGGCTGATAGCTCTTCAACTAGTTGTGGGATTTTGTGCCCACTTTATTCCCTTTATGGTGGGATTTTTTTTTTCTGGTTCGAGCTTGAGCCAATCTTGCGTGTGCTGTCAATTTTACTGAGAATTCATATGTGCCCTACTGAGTCCAGATAAAGACAATTTCCTTTATATCTTCTACCACCCCTGACTCCTCTTTGAAGTGCCCTGTGCCTCCTCTGGAGGGTGTGAAATGCCCATCTCACTTAGGCATGAGTACTCCACAGTCCACTGTTCTCTGCATATCAACCCTCTCTGCAGTGGAGGGTCTCTGTGTCCCTTAGCTGCTGCGAGGAGAAACTTCTTTGATATTTATCAATTTTTAAAGATGAAAATTCACTCAGCAATGAGATTCGTGAGCTTCGGTTTAGGTTTGTTGTTCAAGACTCAAAACACTTTTTTTTTTTTTTGGAACTTCATTCTTTTCATGTGGAGGTGACAGGCCTGAGAAACCTCGCTGGAGCTGTAGTCAAGTGGGTACTGAAAAGGCAAAGAGGCATGGAGGTTGCAGCCATGTGTGGAATGTGGGTCTTTCAGAGGACTGTCCCCTGCATCTGCCAGACCTCAGACTAACTGCACATTTCAGACTTGCCCCAGACTCGGGTTCTGCGCAGTTCTCACGCATCTCCCTTCCAGTAGGACTTTCGCCACGGCTGCCGCGCCGTTACTGAGCACTGGATGAGTGTGGGACAGATGGGCTCACATTTGAAAGTGATTTGGAGATGACTCTGAATCTGTCATATGATGGACTTTGATGCAGATGCCAAGAGGATGGGCCCCGGACTCCTCCTTTAGGATCTGGAATGGAACCCAGATGTGGGAACAAGAGAGGCAATGGAGAAGGGAGAATTCTAGGGACCCAGAAGAATAGACAGTGACATATTGATGCTCACTCTGGGTTTCATCTGATTCTCTAAAGTTTCCACACTACGTCCCTATTATGTGTGACACCATCCCTTGACAAATCTGGGGCAGCACAAAGAGCAAGGCATGGGATTGAGGAAAGAGACTGAAATAGACAAGCTGGGCACGTTGCGGCGAAGTCTAACTTCTCACAAATTTACCCATTAATGGCACAGACTTTATCACAGTAGATGTAAAGGGCAGAAGGTGGAATCTATGGGTGTGTGCATGTGCCAAGTGTGGGGTCACAGTTCATACTCGCTGGAGACCCGAGATGGTGCTATTACTACGCTTACTTCACAAATATGGGAACCAGGGCGGAAGTCTGAGAAGATTTTCAGTAGCAGAGCTGGTGGACATGACCTTAAGCAAATTCGGAAACAGGGCAGGAGGCCAAGTCTGGGAGTGTTTAAGAACTAAGGTCAGAGCATCAGAGAGTCCTGCTTCGTGACAGTTGATGTGTTTACCTGAAGACAAGCAGAGGGAAGAAGGTAGCAGCGACCCGTTGACTCCCATCCCACATTATGAATTTATCTAACCAGGTGACATCTATGGAGGGAAGAAATTCATGTTTAATTTTTATTTCAAGCTGTTTCGCTTGTCTTTCCTCCTTTTCTTGTATTCTGATCAGAATCTAAATGGAATGCATTCAGCTAAAGGACATGATAGGTACTTGATAAATCAAATTTAAAATTTCAAATACTCGTTTAATACTGTATACGATTATTATATGAAAGAAAATTATACTTTGAAATTGTATAAGGGAATGATTATTTGTAACATATTTTTACGGGAATAGAGTAAATAGAAAAGTTGATGTGTTGGCATTTGACAATTGTTTTCCTTTAAAACAAGTTTAATGTATTCTTCTTGAAATTGATTTGCTCTTAGTGCCACTAAACTATGAATCTCATAAAATAATGAGGTGTCATTTACTATATTTTGTGATAAGATGCACTCAGTTTTATTGTGTCATAGATGGAATGTTTCTTTCTATTAAACATTAAATTGGAGGTCAGTACTCTTACTTTTTTATTATTAGAGTTCTAGTTACCCATTAGCTTATTATTCTGAAATCTTGCCTGTATTTCTTCATTTCAAATTCTAATAATCATTACTAGAAACTCAAGAAGAAAAAAGTAAAATTTTATCAACTCCAGTAACATTGGTTAGTTTATATATGTTTTCTGATTCTTTCCATTTTAAAATAGTATTAAGAGCCTATATTATGACAATCTTGTTAGCCTTCTTTAAAATTTTTCTTGAAAAGAGAATGCATGCATAGAAAATGGAATTGAATGTACAGTGGCTTATACATTCTGGATTGTTTAGATTTTCTGAAATAGTCGTTCTCTGTAGCAAAAAATTTCTTTAACAAGAGGTGAGAGCTAGTTTTCTGGGTATAAAGGCAAGCATTTAGAATGCAGTTAGGATTTAAACAGATCTAGGAAAGAGACAGCCATAGGTCCTCCACTGAGACACATGACTTTATTAGTCATTGATGATTAGCCTGGCTAGGTTTTCAGTACCAGGCATGATTTTGTTCCTGTTAAGTAAATCTTTCCTGCTATCAGATAGCTATGGCTACCACAAAGATATGAGTGCCACTCTTGCAATCCTAAGATATCTTGACATGCTTATCAGTGATGCAGTTCTTAAGCATCACGGCCAGCTTAGGAATATTGGTTGCTTTCCTCCCTTGTTAGCTTGCATAGCACTTCCAGTATTATGAAAGCTAGAACTCAGAGAGGAGGCTTTCAGGCCAGATCTAGCTCTGTCCTTCTAAATCCTGTGCCTGAAATGCTAGGATCTCCTAGACTCTCCTGTTCAATGATTCAAATCAAGGTTCCTTATGCCTGGTACTGGGGCTCTGTTACATATGTATGGTTCTTGGGGGAAGTATTACCCCAAGGCGAATAAATTTATTTAAGCTATATCCATTAGTTACTTTTTTATTATTCTGATAAAACACCATGAGCAAAGTAGCTTTTAAAGTAAAACGTTTAATTGGGCTTACAGTTCCAGAAAATCAGAGTCTACGATGACAGAGTCATGTCTGCATTGAAGTAGTAATGACTGATAGTCCACATCTTGAACTGCAAATAGGAGGCCATCGAGCACACTGGGAATGTCATTAGTCTTTTTAAACCTCAAAGCCCACTCCTAATGACATCTTTCATCCAGCAAGGTTTGTACCTAATCCTCCACTAATAACCACCAACTTGAGACCTAGTATTCAAATGCTCAAGACTTATCGGGGCATCTCATTCAAACCACTGCATTCTATTTCTTTGCCCCCAGCCTCGGGCTGTATCATAATACAAAAAGGATTTTCCCCAATTTCAAATGTCCCCATTTTCTTTCAGACTCCAAACTGTTTGAAAGTACAAAATTCAAAATCTCTTCTGAAACTCAAGGCAGCCTCTTAACAGAAACATCCTGTAAAATAATAAAAAAAGCAAATTATATACTTCCAACACATAATGGAACATGATATATATTACCATACAAAAGGCAAGAATCTGGGCACAGTATGAAAATACTGAACCAGAATAAGACTGGAATCCCTCAGGTCAAACCTCAAATCCATGTCTGATGTCAGAGAGCTTAGAAAGCTCCACTCTTCTGTCTTTGGTTCCTGTAACATTCTTATGTCTTTGGGGCTAGTTCTCTAGCCTCTGTGCAGTGCTCCTTGGCAGGTATCCCACATCTCTGGCATGTGGAACATCTTAAGATCCCTAGTCTACACAATAGATTTTACTTTCATAGCTTCAAACAATGACCTCTCAGAATGCTGGGGGAGAAGGAAGTCATCAACCCTCTTACCCAAGTGATGAACACTGAGTAGCATGGCAAGACATGTCTATGGGTGCAATAGTGGCACCAATGGTGTGGGGATAACCAATTACTCTATGATTACATGTAAGGTCATTTAACTGATAGAAACATGTCTAGCACTATATATGGCTGGGGGCTCACAGGTCCCAAGGGTGCACTACCTACTATTATTTTCATAAATGGACATGGAACCAAACTTCCTCTAAATTTGTATTTTCATTCACGTAGGTTAATGTAGCTCTCAGATCTCATCCAAGGAGTTTCTTTGTGTATTGAAGGGCAGTTAACCCAGAAATTGACAACTGGTTATAGTGTAGAGAAGTGATAGACACACGTTATTGGCAGAGAGTCAGCTTTCTCTAAGAATGTGACTCTTTTAGGTCAACTGTGGTGGCTTGAATAGGTATGGTTCCCATAGATTCACTTTTTTGAAGCTTGGCCCATAGAGTGTTGTACTCTTAGGAGGTGTGACCTTGTTGGAGTAGATATAGCCTAGTTGGAGGAAGTGTGTCACTTTGGGGGTAGGCTTTGAGGTCTCATACATTCAAGCTATACCAAGTATAGTACACAGTCTCTTTCTGTTGCCTGCAGACCAAGATGTAGAACTCTCAGCTCCTTCTCCATGTCTGCTTGCATGCCACCTTACTTCTTGCCCTGACAATAATGGAATAAACCTCTGAGACCATCCCAGTTAATTGTTTTCCTTTATAAAAATTGTTACGGTCATGGTCTTTCTTTACAGTTACAGCAACCCTAACTAAGACAGTCAACCAAATTTCAGCAAATGGCTCCACATTCAGAATATTTGGACAGCACATTTTGGAGTTGGTGGCTTATTATTATTATTATTATTATTATTATTATTATTACATGAAGTTGTAGGGGGTGGGAAGGTGGGATGGATCTGAAATGAGTTAAGAGAAAAGATGTATACAATTGATACATCAGATGAAATTCTCAAAGAATTAATAATAAAAATAATTGTTTTTAAAGAGACATGGTGTTAGAGAGCTGACTCAGTAGTTAAGAGCACTGGCTACTCTTCCAGAGAACCCAGTTCAACACTCAATGCCCACATGGTGATTCATAACTGTTTGTCACTTCAATTCCAGGGGACCCTGATGCAGACGGTGTATCACAGAAGCACATACAGCAATATATCCAGAAGCCACCGAAAATAAAGGCAAAAATTGGCAAGAGATAACTAATAAAATGCAAAAATTCCTGAGATGACCCTTGAAAAACGAACACAATGGAATATGTTTTTTGTCCTCCCCCACAGTTGCTAGAGTTCATGAAACTTCTTATAGGAGAAGCCAAGGATCTCTTTGTACGGGTGAAAAGGATTTTGTCTTTTTAGCTATCAAACGAAATTGCTCACTTTGAGCCTCATGTTCAGAACACACAGTGCCAGTTAAGAATAACAACTATTTGACTTCAAGAGAATTCTTGTTTTAAAAATGACTTAATTGACATGACATAATAGGCATGTATTGCGCAGTTTTCCTGTGGTCTTCATCACGGTTGCACAAGGCTAGACTTGTGCAATTTTAACAGTGTTCTCAGAACCTGTGCAACCATGTAATGAACTCTGAGCAGGCAATACCGTCATAAAATGCTGAACAAGCCGACTCCAATTAACGTGGAAATACTTTGTGAGTCACACCAGGACTCCAGAAGCAAATGATATGGGTCTTTATTTTGCATTTTATTCCTTGGAATAAATCTAATATAATGGCATGTTAGGAATGTCCTGAAATTCTAAAGGATAAATAGAACAATATCTTGCTTTGTCTGCAGATGAAAATTTTATTGCATCTACCCATTGTAACTGGAATGACTGAAGGACTTTTTATTTTACAAAGAATTCTGGTCCTACAGTTTAAACCTGAAATTATGACTCTGGTAAGCCTCATGTAAATATGTGAATTCAAACGTCATCTGCCTGACTTAAGTTTAAAACACAAAGAGATGTATTTTTAAGTTTTTTAGCTTTATAACAATAATTTTAGGCATACAGACATTAAAGATAGAAATACCTTGACTCTTTTACTTTTTAAAATGCTAATTGAAAATAGATTAATTTTTCTTATCATTGCGTGTAAAATAATTTTAAATTTCTCTTAATATTTTGACTCATTCAACAGGACATTGCACAAGTGGCCACGGTTTTGTTTTTTTTTTTTTTATAAAAGAACCACACTGCATTTCATTTATTGAATGAAATGAAGACAAATGCAGAAATCATGATTCTACCCGAGTAAACATGCCAGGTAGACTGTAAATTTAAGCTGTCAATAGATTTCTAAAAAATGAATTAAAGAAAAAGCTGAAGGGAACAAAATGTTACAATAGAGATAGTTTGGGGCCATTAGCTGCTTGAGTGATCAGTACCAGAAATAATAGAGGAGACGGGAAAATTTATTCATAGTGTCTCGAGTATTGAAAAGATAGTTGATGTCCCAGAAAAGTTAACTCTTAAGCTGGTGAGGAGATGTCTGGTTATTAATTTTATATGCAGTTTAAAAATATAAGCTTTTTGGATCACCCGAAGGCATACATTTAGAAGGTCGCCTTTTCTTTTCAGTGTTTGCTTCCACTTCACTCACGTGAGCTCTCCCTGTGAAGCCGGGAACAGGCTGACCCTCCCTGTTTTCAAGGTGTGGCAGCGTCTTGACCTCTGCAGCTACGCTGTCAAGAGAGTGATTACCTAGAATGCTGCCTTGGCTGTGCTTTTCGGTGGACTTCGTTATAGAAAACACTCTATTTCTGGTGGCATTAGACAGGATGGAAACTATTAACATGTGAAGTGCAGGAGGTACACAAGTAGAAGTCGAATATCACAGACTGGGAGGAACATGTTTGACCATGCAACAGTCTATGTAGAGGAGAGAAACAGCGGCTCTCACACCATCGAGGGCTTAATGTCTTTGTTTTGGAAGGGGCGGGGGCTTCCAAGCGCAGACACCTGCTCAGCCTCCTTCCTCCTCAGGAAGCCCTCTGGCAGCAGTGCAAGTTCCGAGATTCCGGGTGACATTCGAATGGAGACTTTGGCTGCACTTTCCAGCACATATTGCTCTCTGCAGAAGTCGATGCAGTCGTATGGTTGTCTCTGGGTGGCCATCTGTGGCCGTTCTGCACGGTGTCAGTACTCATGGGGAGCCTGGAGTGTTCTAGAGAGCTGGTGGTGCCCTTCCCGTTCATGCACTTTCGGAAGTTAAGGTGGAGGCTTGCCTAATAAAGACAGTGCTGCCAATGTCTCCTCAGCTAGGGGTAGGATTGCATCAAGCATTGTTGTTCTTAAAGTCCCAGTTAGGAGACTTTATAGATGCTTTCTTTTGTTTGCACGGCCTCTGCTAGCGGCACCATGCTTTTCCCTTTGAGAAGTATCGCCGGCTAACTTCCTTTCAGTAGGGCACTTTGGGTCCCGAACTCTTTTCACAAGGGCCTATTTTCTAGCCGGAAGACACAGATTGCTACACGCTGGCTCCTGGACTAGGCTCATGAGACCCAAGCCTGGAATTCTGATGAAAACGAGTCCCATCTTTCATTTGCACCAACAAATAGTTATAGAGGTGGGAGTTTTAGCCGCTGGAAGTCATCCTGTTACAGCGCTGGAAGAACGGCTGAGAATATACAATGAAAGATTGCAGCAAACAGGGATGCTAAATGAGTTCTGTAAAGTCTTGTTGGGCTCCCTAGACTAAATATATGTAGAAAATCCTGTAGACTTTCAGTTGTTGAGTCAAAAAAAAATATTTGTTTTTGTGAAAGCCAAAAATACTGCCTTTTTCCTTTGACAACTCTATTTCTGACAGAGTGAACTCAGGCCTCTCTGAGTGTGGGATCTGAGCCTTTTAGATGCTATTAGTAATAAAGGAACTGGATTTGCTAAAATTCATAGAGCTTTGCAGAGACAGAGAGATTGATATAGTCAATATATTTTACTAAACTGTTAGAAACAGACACTATACTTTATCTCAGTCCAAGGACCCTTGAAAGCAAAAAGAATTGGGCTGTTTCTATTATAAAGGGTTGACCACGGGAAAATGGGGTCATCTCAGATCATTAGCTTTTGGTCGTAGAAAGTAGTGCCATAGTATAGACTGGTATAGCCCCACACTTACCCTCAAGGGCAGAAGTCACAGGCTTATTTTATATCATTGTATTCCTATTGCCAAGCCATGTATGGAAAAGCATGAACACACAAACATCGTTGAAGAGGGAACATTGGTGACACCATCTTGAAAGAGTCACTGAGAGGACCATTTGGCAAGACTGCTCGTCGGGAGAAAGAGGTCAGGTCACCTTTCATGATGGTGCTTGTAGATGGACCCAGTGGTTCACACCAAGGGGTCCAGAACAGAAAGGCTGGGGCTCACTCTTTAATAACAGGCAGAATGTACTTGTTTCTAGGTGTAGTACTTATTTGCTTTCTGTTCTTAGGAATCTAAATGTCTCACGACTTCATTCTGTGAATGGCGAAACTGTAAGGATAATGTCTTATGTGTTGTTATGGAGATTAAATATATTAATGAGGGTAAAATTTTAGCAGTCTGTTTTGCCCATCTAAAGAACTGCTGTCACTTTTATTCTTCTTAATGTTCCTCCTGTCATCACAATCATTGCAAACATGAAAGAATGCAGTGGAATGAACAGTGCTCTAGACAGGTATGTGCCACGCCTTCTTGTTCTTAGTATTTTTTTTTTCACATCTTGAGCAAGTGATTAGGTTTCCATCCAATCTTATTCTGAAATAATGGTGCATATAAAACAGCTGGCAGATTATTATGGACCAAAACAGAAGAAAATGCAGTTTTCTCCTACTTTACCCTGCTTTGTGCTTCCTTTGTGTGTGTGTGTGTGTGTGTTTAAATTGGTTTGCTTGGCCTTTAGCTTTCAAATCTATGCTCTTAAGAAACGGCAGGATAGAACAGATTCCCAGGCATTGCCCTCAAGAATTTTGATTCAGTAGGACTTGGATTAGGATGAAGTCTCGGTTTGGCATGCATTTCTGGAGATGCTAATACAGGCGACTCCTGGGTACCATGGAGTGGCACGGCTCTGCGGTATGTCACGGCTCTGCGGCATGTGACTGATTTGAAGACTGCCATGAGCCCTTCAGAATTCCAGATTCTCCTAGGTCCTGGGATAGTGGTTGGTGAAGTAGCCTACAAGAGCTGTGGCCCAGTGTGCATCGTCATTTCTATTTGTAGCTGAGTGGAGTTGGCAGCGGGCATGGGCTGGCAGTTGCTTCCGACACACTCCTTGTCAAAGCCCACACTGTTTCTGCAGCTGGCATCTATTCCCTGTACATCCCAATTATAACAGTATTACTGAGTCTTGTGACAGTCACACATTTCATCACCTTGGGGGACTGGTCAGAACAGGTTTGCAATGGCATAGATGCCCTATTCCCTCCTTTCTTCACATTCATCATTGCTTAGGAATCCGGTTGGTCTTGCTTGGCAGTGAGAGTTTGCAGTCCTAACTGGGGATGTTTGGAGCCCAGAACAGATCAGAGATTATGTATAAACTGCAGGCTGTGAGCTACAGGGTGTGCTTGCTGTAAAACACTAATTTTTTTTGAGGTATTTCTACTATTAAGATCGTCAGCGTGATGGTGATCACGTGTTCTGCGCTGCTCTTCTGGGCTTGTGTGTCTCAGCACAGTATACCCACTCCTGAATGCACACGGCTGACTCTGTGCAATGTGATGGAACCGCAGGGTGCATTTCACACTCCTTGCATAATGGAGGGTTCTGACTCCTGTGTTGCCTTTTCCACTTAAGGGATGTGGCAAAAAAAATTGAATAAAATAGATGTTCTATTAGAGTTTTGAAATATTTTGGTGTGTGATACAAACTCAAAGGGCCTTTGCTTCATAACCTGGTTTTAAAACATGGAGTTGCAAGTCAATATGCCACATATTGAGAACCTTTGTGGGTAATTATTGACAGTGTGTTTTGTTAGCTATATTGAATTGAGATATTCAAATGCACAACCATTTTTATTTTAAAAAAATCTTGTCATGTTTATGAGGTTAATAAATGCATTCCAATTTACTCTTCTTCCATATTTAGTCTTCCTTTATATCAGAATAATTAGTTGGTATTAGCCAGAAGGAAAGATGGTTCATTTTGGTAAAATCTGGACTAATAGGCTAAGATCAATAAAAATAAGAAAAATGACTGACGAAGGTTCATTGACCACAAATGCAATACG